CACACACACACACACACACACACACACACACACACACACACACACACACACACACACACACACACACACACACACACACACACACACACCAAAACCACTTTGAATATTGTTAATTCCCCTGATGATTCGTCACTCCTTTTCTTGCAATCAATCATCACAAAGTGAAGCATAGATATGAAGTTCAAGCAATAACTCCACTGCCTGAATTTGATTTAAGTTAGAGTCGGGCTGATGTAGCGTCACCCATCGCACAGGTCATGGGAGTGTGGGCGGGGCCTGTTCTCCCTGGGCTACATGAGGTCCAGCCTCAGGATTGAGTTTATTCTCAGTTTTGGCTTGTAGCGCAGTCTTAAGGGCATCTTGCTTACTAAGTGTCCTCGTTCTTTATGTCCTCCGTGCACCGCTGCTGTTCCAGTAAAACTCCGCCAGTTTAACTGGAGAGTGACAGAAGCCCATAGTCATCAGCAGTGTCAAGAATCCTGCATATGACCGGTGACTCAACCTACAGAAAAAAAAAAGCCATCTTCAATATGGTGCCTTTCATTTAGGATGATATGCCTGCACAACGCCAGTATAGTTAGATAATTAAATCAGTGTTTAGACCAGTGTCATTTCCTTTGTCAAATCTACAGGAAGTACTGCAAATATTTGCAAATATCTAGGCATGTTTATAATAATTCCTAATTAAACCAAAAGTTATATATTTTAACTTGTCACAGAGAAAAGGCATGAAGGGAACAAAATAACACCAAGATTGGCTCATGTACATTAAATTTATCCATGCAGTTAAACAATCTGCAGTTTCTTCTTTATATTTATCCCTAAAACTGATATAAATGTGTTTTACAAAGGACTAAACCTTCACATAAGATTCATAATGTTACTAAGCAAATTCTACTGTTTTCTTTTTTTTTGCCACTCTGGAGTGAAACATAAACTTACCCCAAGGACATACTGACAAGTCTGAGGCTCCAGCATATAGACAGTGACAGCATGGGGAGACTCAGACTCCTTACATCTGACAGAGAGAAGAGAAATGATATGAGTGAATCAAAATGGGAAACACTGACAACTTAGTCTTACTCATCCGTGGACTCGGGCTGATGTGCTCCACTCTTCATCCCCTAGTTCTAGGTAACTGTTCACTCACTTGAGCTTGACGATGACCTGTCTGGGCTTCCCTGTCAGGTCACACACATCACCGTGGCCATAGAAGTGGGAAACCAACCTATTGTGGAGTAAAGGGGAAAAGAAAAAGTAGTGGGTGGATATTTTTGTATCCCGTTTACAGCGATTAGTGTTCAAAAATCTGAAAGGCCTACTTGACTTTCTGCACTCCGTCCTCTCTGAGCTGGAGGGATCGGGCGACGTTCTTCTTGGCCCAGTCGAGGTGTTCATCTGCATTCCAGTTCCCCACCACTACAATGTTCTTCCCTTGCTCTTTATCCTACAACACAAAGAAAAGATAATCTGGCTGTTACAGAAAATACTCTCGCTTACTGCTTTATAGCCAGCGTACAATCTAAAAAGGTACTACAAGGTACTTTTTCCACGTTTGAATTCACTCGCTTACCTCATGGTACTGATGGACGTGCCTTCCGTAACAGAATTCATATTTCCACCATCCTACACCCTGAAACGCACATGTTAAGATGATTAGTGTTCCCTGAGCAGGTTATGTATCAGTGCTCAGCTTCCAACACATAAACGCGCCTCACCCCGTGCAGACAGTACGAGCCACTCAGGAACTCCTTAATTAGCTGTTCGTCTGTCAAGCGAGAGATGTGCGTGGTACCAACGGTGACCTGAGACTGCCCTCCGACGGTCATGGGTTTGTGGGTGGAGGTGAAGGCTTCTTCTCTCACTGCTGACGTCTCCTCCTATGATATACCACAAATGTAAATAAGCCACGTTTCGTGTGCTCAGGTGATCACCGTTTACCTTTGCACGTCTTACCTCTCTGGGCTCAGATGTGGCACCGAAAGGTGGTTTAAGCTGCTCCTCTTGTTCTTTGTCCAACTGGGCGAGCCGCTGAGGCCGCAGAGGGGAGCCCGCCAGAGCCTGGCAGAAGATGGCGTTCACCGGGGAGGATTTGAACCTGCGAACAAGTGACGTGAGCAGGTGAATTTTATAGTATTTAATGGGAAATATATGAAAAATAAAAAGTCTCAGTTTGAGTTTTTCCTTTAAAATGTTGTCTTTATACAACTTTCAGTTAAATATAAGGTTAAAATGATCTGCAAATCATTGCAGTCTGCTTTAAACGACAAGCGACACCTTACTGTTTTACAGCAGCCAAAAACAGGCTTTAACTAAACAGCTCAGTGCCCCCATAGTTAACACATTCACCTAAACTGCTAAACATCTGCAGTTAAAGACCGAGAGGAGAAACAAATCCCGGGGGACGTTGCATCAAAACAGCATCTGTTGCAAGAATTTTGCATGATATTTAAAACATGCGGATCCATCAGCAGCAAATAAAAGGCTATAACAAAACAGCTCTTCTTTTGTGTTTTGTGTGCTATTAAAGCATTTTTCTATTTGCTGGTGCTTTCTTAATTTGCAGCGAGTTTGACCTCTCAGGGCCACCGTCTTAAATATAATAAGACAAACTAACAAACAAACTAAATACAGGTGTCGCGCTCTATTAAAGTGTAACCATCTTAACAGATCTTACCTGTATTTTGGGTGTGCACAAAGCAGAGGCGTCAGCACCACCACCTCATATTCGCAGGTGGTGACCTCAGCGACAGACAAGATCTCGTGCTTGGCCTCCGGATGGCAGACGTACAGCACGGCTGTGGAACGAGGCTGGTCCTGTTTCAGCAAACACGGAGTCCCGTTTCCCATCTCCACTGAGTAGTAGGGAGTCAGCTGACCTTCAATGTTCTTAGTGGGCACCTGACGTTAGAAAAAGGGGAAGGCAACAGGAAAGATATGTGAGACTGAAAAACTAGACTGGCAGATTTGCTTGGTTACTCAGTAGAATACTTGCTTTGGTTTCGGACGGTTTGACGCTGTCTGTCTTCTCAGCTTGATCTGAAAAAAAAGAAAAAAAAAAGAAAGGCCAAATATGATTAACGTTCAATTAAAAAAAAAAAAAAAGCAGTGTAAGATATACATATATATAGAAACTTACCTGTCTCTGTTGATTGGCTCTTTTGAGCCATATTTCCCAAGAAGTACTCTTGTACACTGATCTTCTGTGGAAACATGCAAGCTTAGCGAACCGTAACGAGTGCACATTTTCCATTCCAGTCTAAAAATATTTCAAATAACTCAAAGCACTGACCTGAGAAGTCTCCTTCTCTTCATGGTACTGCCTTACATGTTTTCCATGGCATACTTCGTACGTCCAGTACGACTCAATCTGCATTGGTATAAATATATGCTCAGCAATACACTCATACAACATGATTTTTGTCATGCTCTGCTACTATAGTGTGACTGTGACTTTAAACTGCATGCAGTTTCAGTCTCTGTGTGGAGGAATATGAGATGAAAACAGAAAAGTCTCACCCTGTAGGAGCAGCTGCTTCGTTTGAATAGCGACTCGAGCAGTTCACCTGGACTGGGCCCGCCGTACTCCTTTTCATCATCCTGCAGCACCAAACAAATGCAACAAGTGATGAGAGACAAGAGATAACACATGCTTTTTTTTTAACTCTAGGAAAGGAGGGAAACTGAAACCTTTATTAAAGGCTTATTTAGCATTTTGTAACTGATGTTTTAGCATACCCTCCTATTAGGTTGTATTGGTCTTCATTCAAGGCAGAATTACAGACACAAATATTTCAGCAACCTTTTATCGCTTAACACAGCTTTATAGTGCTTCTTCTATGAGGGTTGCTGTGTCACGGCACAGTTACATAGTCTCTGGTTTCAAATATAAAAAGATAAAACAGTCAGTGCTTTCCACATAATCCCTTAGAATCAGATGATTTTTTTGGCACAATGCTTTTAGTATGTTTAATGAAACCACGCAAAATTTTGTCTTCACACCATGAAGATTTTCTGCGTCACAGGCTCTCAAGATACAAAGGGGTCGGTGGACAAGCTGCACTTTTTATTGCCTTTTTTCCCCCTTCAAGATTTTTTGAGCCCTTATTATTGAGTAAGTACCACAGTGAGTTCTTTTCGTTCAGGACAAACTTTCCCATAGGCAGCAGTGAGAATCGGTAACACAGGATATGTCACAGTTTTTGTCGTTTGCACCAACGTGACAACAATGACGCAGAGTAACAGGAGCAAGCTCTCGCACCTCGGATGTTTTGCCTGTTTTATGATAATTTACTACAGATAAATATAAAAAAATCTATTAGCAAACAATGCTGTTCACATGTTGTATGTAACAGTTTGGACATATCACATTGATCAAACAACTTCAGGTCCTGAAGAATTCTGTGGAATGACTCACACTTTATCTTTTTTCCTCACATCTGCAGGCAGGTTATAATCACCTGTGCAGAAACGACACAAAATTGCTCCGTGCCTAGCTCTGCTAGTGCAAACTAGTTCAGTGGCAAGCTCTCATAACTCTTTAGATAAACAGCTGTGCCATTCCCAGAAAGTGTTAGGAGTGCTCACCTCCTCTCCAGCCGTCAGTGAAGGGAGGAGACATTTGTACTTTTCCTTCTCTGTTGTGGTCAAGATGACAAAGTCTTCCTCACTGTAAAGTGCACCTGAAGTTGGCTGCGGGCGGGAGATAAACATCTGTTACTTCAACTCAGGTCTTGTGTGACAGAAAGAGAAAGAAGTCTAAAACAAAGTGACATTTACGTCTCCTGATCCCGTTAGGGCAGATGAGTTTCTTTAGTGACACTAAAAGAGGAGACATACCAGCGTAAATTCAGCGCCAGGCCAGGTGATTTTGAAAGGGATTTCGTCTGTGAATGAGGGATAGCCTCCTCTGTTGGCTGAAACGCCGCTGCAGACCTCCAGCAGCCCCCCTACTAACGCCAACAGCAGCCCCGCCATCATCTCTCCTTCCCCGGCTGCTGAGCTCCTACAGCCCGCTCTTCATGTACGGAGAAAATGGATTAAAAGCTGCCACAAAGGTTGAGGAAGTCTATTTAACAGACCTAAGATATAACACGACCGTGAAAGACGGATGTCAATACGGTTAAAAAAAATACACAGGAAGTAAACTGCCACGTCGTGTTCCGGCTGCGCTTTGGGCTGGAAAAAGAAGCAGCGCCACCTGGCTGCGATACTTGGCATGGGCACACAGCTAGATCCAAATGACAGCAGAGATGTTCATTTCTCTTTCTTATTCAACAGCGAGTAGCACGTAAAATAGCATGTAAAAAAGTAGCATGTAAAATACCCAGAAACTATTCACTGCTTAAAATTACTTGGACTATAATTACTTTTTCACTCTTGCAAAAATCTTAACTGTTACTTCCATCTTGTAGCATATCACCAGGGAAGCATTTTTAGGTAAACATAATTACAATGTAATTTTAGGTACATTGAAATTACATT